CAACAGTGAAATGCTTCAACACAACACAGAACATTGAAGCTGCAATGTTGCTGCTACCTGGACATGGTAAAATGCAACAAGATACAGTTTTGCAAATATCGATTACAAGACACTGATGAAATTCACCGCCATATTGTTGGTGTTGTATTCCCCCTTCCCCTTAAATGAGTATTTTTTAATGGATCAGGCATGCTTTCTTGCTTTTTTATTTAAAAAATTATTACTTTTTATTGAAAATAAACATACATTGTTATGACCACTCTCTTTCTCCCTTGGTTTTTTTTAAATAGTTTCTCCCTCTCTATCGTATTAGGTAAAATAAAGTCATTCACACCACATTTTAAAAATAACTCTGTAGCCTGACTGTATTCTAGAAAATGAGCAAATGACACACATGTTGTACGGGGAGTTCTGCTTTTCGCATGCTGCTATTTACATAACTGGCTATTAATCATGCATTGTTTACAAGAGAGTTTTATTTATGTTAATAGGCCTCTATATCAATTTTTATATATGCTCACACAAATGATGAATTTTGGATGAGGCTCAGATGGCTTGTGTTGGTTCACTCCCCCCCCTTTATAGAAAAACAAACTAAACCAAAACACACATTATTGTATATTAAAGCTACAGCTTCCCCATTTTTAAACAGTACAAGTTGGAAATGCTGTTCTTCTGGACTTGATCTTCGGAGCTAATACTTCCACATCTTTTGTTTCAGAAAGGGCACCTTGGATTATTAGCAGAAGAAACAGAATCAAATGGGGGGGGGAGCCTGCACTGTGCTTTGCCATAGTAAAAACATGAACACTTGATCTGTTTTCTACTGTATATCCAAATTATTGATGCCCTCAAAGAACAGGAAGTGACAGACACCAGCACCACAAACACACATCCATTCCAATCCTGATGTTATTTAAGGAAAGGAGATGCTGCAGCCTTAATTAAGAACCTTGAGGGCTGATGAATTCATGATCCCACGATGCTTTGAACCAGCAAAGGACGCTGATGCAGTGGCTGTACCAAGTGGACACTCCCGCAATACTCCCCTCTGCCACTATGACACTGCAGAGTTGTTGTTCTGCTAACACATAAACTGGTGATAGTGGCATGGCTAGCATTAATAAAAATCTCATACAGCTCCAGAACACTGCAAGGATACTCCCCTGTGACAATGCCTTAAAAACCTCACATCCTTGCCAGTGGCAGCATTAAAAGCTGAGAGAGGCACAATAAAGTTATTGAAGACAAATTTAGTCTACCTTTAAGTGGTGATTTCTTTTTTTTAACAACAAGCCAGTGCCAAAGCCATCTTTAGAAAGGTATTGCGGTAATTCTGGTTAAGCACAGATCATTACTACATATGCTCCTTCAGGTTTGATTAAGATAGAAGGCCCTGGCTCTGGGGGTCACAGTACACAGCCATGCCATGCCACCAATGTGCAGGGTAACCAGAACTGCAGCAGTGGCCATTGAGTCTAATCTAACCACATAAGGGAACTGCAGGCACCATGTCAAAGGCCTTCAACAGACACACACACACACACACCTCTTTCTTCAGATAATTTCAACAGATTTTACAAGTGTTTTAATCAGGCAATGTCTCCCCTTTCTAAGTCTGCCATGATGTCAGTGAAGAGAGGGTTGGGGATATGGGTCAACGCCAAGGCTACATAGCATTTTAGTGAAGCACTATGGTTCTCACCTAGGATCATCTGACATAATGATCTATGTGAATGATCCTGGAGTCCTAGTTTGCAATGGCCCATTCTGTCAGAAATAACCCATTCCTGAGGCCTAGACATCAATGAAGCTTGTATCTGGGCTGCATCACTTCAGAAGATAGACTGAATGCTCCTCTGTTTAAAAAAACAAAAACAAACACCCTTCCATGCAGAAAACTAGATGCCAAGTTCTAGATCTGGGTAAAAAAATGAGGGACACGCATACTAGATGAGGGATACACTTCTGAGTAGCAGTGTGTGTGAACAAGATTTTGGGGTATGGTTGGACCGTAAATTAAATATGAGCAGCCATTGTGATGCAGTGACAAAAAAGGCTAAAGTGATCTTCGGGTGTATCAAGAGAGGCATAACATCCAAATCGCAAGATATCATAGTCCCGCAGTACACTGCATTGGTCAGGCCACACCTGAAGTATTGTGTGCAGTTCTGGAGGCCTCACTTCGAAAAGGATGTGGACAAAATGGAGTGCATGCAGAGGTGAGCGATGAGGATGATCGGGGGTCTGGAGACCATGCCTTATGAAGAAAGGCTGAGGGCCTTGGGAACATTCAGTATGGAGAAGAGGTTGGGGGGAGACATGATTGCTCTCTCCAATATACGAAGGGCTATCACGTAGAGGAGGGCAGGGAGTTGTTCCTGTTGGCAGCAGAGGGTAAGAATCGCAATAATGGGTTTAAATTAAGGGCGGGAAGGTACCAGCTGGATATCAGGAAAACCTTTTTTACAGTGAGAGTTGTTCAACAGTGGAATCAGCTGCCTAGGGAGGTGGTGAGCTCCCCCTCACTGGCAGTCTTTAAGCAGCAGCTGAACAAACACTTGTCAGGGATGCTCTAGGCGGATCCTGCATTGAGCAGCGGGTTGGACTAGATGGCCTGTATGGCCCCTTCCAACTCTGTGATTCTATGAAAAGGGTTTTAACAGTTTTTTTGACATTTTTTTTCTATGCATGGAGATATTTTTGTAATATGGAAGAAGATTCAGTCAGGTGAGCCCACATCTGCAATCCAAAATGGTCCAGTCCAGTGAGAACTATGCCTGAGTTTGCTTACTTTTAACCCTACACTTGCTGAGGAAGCAGTGGCTGTCTGACTACACAGCCCTGCTCCACAGGAACACAACACTCAACCCCCAAGAAACTGGTGCCTTTTGTTTAGCCAAGCTATTCTTTATAGGTGGAAATTCTTTTTGGTGGTGGGAAGCAGTGCCAGTATAAACACTTGAAAACAGTGCTTCAGTCTTGCATTTGTGGCAAGAATATGAGGAGAGGCTTACAGTCAGAGAGACTGCTGAAGCAGCAGGAGGCTTTACACGACATTTTTGGATTCTCACTCTACTTCACCGTCTGTCTCATCTAATTCTATTTTTAACTAACACAAAAATATAAGTCATTATTTGGGTGTACAGCCAAGGCAGAAAAACTATTACGGTAAACAAGTCTGACCGAGGCCAAGCTAAGCTAATGAAGTTTTCACAAGATAATTTATTTGGCCAATGAAGGATTCTCCACTCACAAGATAGTAGTTTGGGCTCCCCCCCCCCCAGTCTTTAACTGGGCCCTGATCAGCCATCTTAAAGGCTGGAATTAGCATCTCTCCATATCTGTTGTTGGAATTCCAGGGCCAGTCCTGGTAACTGCAGGAAAAGGCTGTCGACAGTTAAGGAAACAGCTATCTTCCAACTCTGTCACCTGTGGAAAAGTCTCCCATCTAGGATATTAGCTGTAATTCCTGAATACATCAGCCCTGGAGGCAGCAAAGAAGCCACACATGGATATCGACCCTGTGTTCCAATCCAACATGGTGACTCGATAGGAGGGGGGGGGGGGAAACAAAAACAAATGAAATGTAAGAGAGCCAGAGCTGCATTTACTTCTGTATGCTTTGGATGACAAATTTGAATTAAGTAGCATAAATGTTCCATCAGGGAAGCAGAGGCCCAAAGACCATGCTGATCTTTTTTTCTTTCCTCTACCACTCAGTTTACCTTGCCCACCAATCTGGATTTGGGAGCCAAGATGTTCAGGACGCTGATATCTGGTGCAATATATGAAACTCAGAGGCCCTTCCGGGGTCAGTGCAAAGACTAGGTACCAAAGGTAATATGGCTTATCTCTCTGGGGGTCAGCAAAGATTCCGCATGTGTTATTGGCAGCCAGCCAGTGCCATACAGTATGGGAGATGCTGTTGCCTTTGGTGCATCTTTGGTCCTTTAGATGGAATGGATTCACTCTTCTTCTGCCCCCTTGCACTGTGCTCCCCTCCTAGAAGAGTATGATATTATGGGAAGTAGAGCCTCCAATAGAAAGCTTTTGTTTTCTCTGAACACCCCCCCCCCCAATAATGGAGAAGCTAAACATTTAATCCAAAATGTACATAGCAATTCCCTTCTCCCTCCTCTCTTCTCCCACTTCCTATCCAGCAAATAATCTTGGTCCTCAGAGCATTAGAAGGACATATGAACCTTAGCCCAACATGCCTTTAGTTCCAGATTCCTGACAACATTATACCTTCCTGCAAGAGATATCTAGATATCCACAGGTTTAGGTTGCTGTACCCGCAAAAGAAATATGGCAGTGCAAGGCATGGTGGGAAGGATATGCAAACCACCCCAGGGCTGCTGTTTTTCAGGACTGCAAAGCTATGGGAAGGCTGCCATAGCTTTGCATGATGTGTTCACTTTGGCACTGCTACCTAGAATCTGACTGACTTGACATCCAATTGCTGCAAAATGTTCAGCCAACCAGGGTGGGTTATTTGCATAAATATCCCTTTATGCTGTTCATCAAAAATAAAGGCTATTTTGTGCTCTGTCCTGCACTCATTCAGGAGACTGGAATAATTCAAGCATCGTTACCATCCTTAGATAACCTTCCAGTACCACTACACCATTCTAATTAAGAACTGAAAACTACAAGGGAAGAGAAGACCCAGTGCAGTACCTAGACGCTACAGGGCAATTAACATCATGGAATAAGTATACCCCAAAATGAATTCTTCTCACCAAAGAGAATTAATTCACCAGTTCCCCACATCTTTGAGGATGTTCCAGTGCCAGAGTTGTTCCTTGTCTCTGGAAGATGACTAATCGCCAAAGGCCAACCAACTTGATGTGCCAAGGTTCTCATATGGTAAATACGACCTTCCTCCTTTGCTATTATTTTCCAAAGTAAGGACAGTCTATCTGGTCATCTCACATTGTCAGGCTCTGGTATCATCCTAGCACAAAGGTCTGATTTAAAGAAGAAAAACCCAAGGAGAGTAAAAGCAAACCGTGTGCTATTCACGGTGGCCTTGAAGAAGAAACCCCAAGAAAGGAGCTGGCTTGGTGCTTGAAGAGAACAACACAGAGAGATGACGGAACATGCAGCGGACAAAGTACTTGGAAGAAAGCAAACGAAATCTCTGTGCCTTTCAAACTCTTTCCCTTGGAAACACTTGGGTGCATCCGGAATTCTTCTACAGCCATCAAAGAAAGGGTATTGCAGCTCAGAAAACAGAACAGAAACCAAACATTGCCTAACTGAGGTATTGATAGCTCTGGATCACTTTGAATGTTCAGTAGGTGATGCTGGGGTATGGAGTAGCCTATTTGTTTTTCCCAAGAGCTGCATCCACCTCCTCTTCAGGCTTCAGGGAATGCCACTGGGCAATGGGGCGGCGAGGGTTGGCCAGCATGTCAGACCAGTGCCGCAGCTCTGTGCCGCTGGAGTTGTTGCCCACAAATACCTTGCCAATGGCTTCATTCTTCCCCAGTTTGTCGTAATCCAGCACGGTGATCACAACTTGCACTTTCTGGAGGGGAAGCAAGAAGACAATGATTAAGGGATCCACTGCAATGTCCATGGGCGTCTATTCTAGAACTGAAGGTGCTCAGTTCGTCTGAAATTTTCAGTGTTTATCTGACCAGAGCAGCCAATTCATCATTTAACAGAGAACCAGAGACACATAAAAACAGAGACACCAAATTTGGGGTCTGGCTTTCTTGCTGATTGGAAACGAGTTTTTCCCATACTTCCACACAGTAATATGGTGTTCTTGTGCACCTCCCTGTTTTTCCACTGGGTTTCCTGCGATATTTCCCAAACTTGCTTTACTATGCTCATTTAGGATATACCATAGCAAAGTCCGGATGGCTGCCATTTCAACAGGAAAGTCTGAACTTTTCCTTGTCCTGCCCACATTGGTACCATTTCCCCAGCTCCTCTCCTTTGTAGCAGCTGAGGATACAGTTAGCAGAACTAGGTGATAAAGGTTTCCCAGGATAATAAGATTTTAGGCTATGGGTGAGTGGCTGCATACTTTCAGAGGGTGGCCACCTTTGTCTGCAGTAGAGCAGCTAGAGATAGGTCCAGTGGCACCACACAGACCAACAAGATTTTCAGGGTGTGAGCTGGGTACCCGACCAAGGGAGTTTTGACTCTCAAAAGCTCATACCTTAAAAATCTCATTGGTCTGTATGGTGCCGCTAGACTCGAACCTGGCTGTTCTACTGCAGACCAAGGTGGCTCCCCTCTGAAAGTAAGCAACCCACTCACCTATAGCCTAAAATGTGATTATCCTAGGAAATCTAGCTGGTTGCATACCTGAATCCTTTCCCATGGGGAAAAAAGCTCATTTCACAGGGACAGCTTGGCCATCAGCATAAAAGCCAGGCCAAATCTTCTCCCTAAGTACCAGGGTGGGGGCAGTCATTAATGGGGGGTAAACAAACATGCAACCCCGTATCTACACTCTGAAATGACCTAGTCCAGGTGTAAAAAAAAATCCATTCCCTTTATTAGGTTCTAGAGTTACAGCTTGATGTTTTAAACAATACACATATCTAATGTTTGCTAGTTTATCACTGTATTCTTGTAGTATTTTAGATTGATAAAACCACAAATACAAACTTTTATTTTTAAGAAATAACCAAAATAGACCAGACTCTACAAAGATTCCACCACTGTCACCCCCTGCACTGTGAGAAGCACACGAGCTTTGATCAATACTGGGTCCCATGGTCCAGGCAAGGCAGTGAAGGACTATGGATCACCTCATGCTTGAGCCACGTGACTAGGGAGCCCCTTGTCTCTCCCTCCCCCAGGTGTCCTCAGGTGAGAATCTGAGTATGCAGACCTGTATCTGCTCAAAGGGAATCTCAAAGCTGAAGGACTCATTGAAGTAAGGGTTCAGCGTCTTCTTCTTGACAGTGGTCTTCTTCTTCTTAAGTCGCTTGCCATTCTGCAACAGGTGAATCTTCACATAGGGATCTGAGGGAAAATAGCACAATCAGGATTGGAAGCCAGCAACACAGCTTCACAGACAGGAGCACAGGCGAGAAAAGCCCCAAGGAAAAAGAACCAGTCCAGGGTTATCTATGATGCTCAGAGGAATAGACTGAATAGAGGCACCGTTAACATTTTATTTTGCATTCCTAAATTGTGCACAGTTCTGAGCAGCTTTCGTAGAGCTTGTTCCCTTTGGGGAAGATATTTCAGACAGCCCGGGTCTACTGTCATTCTAGTCACTTCTAGATTTCCTTGCTGCAATGCATTCTGCTGTCTGACTGATTTTGGCTGTAAGTCAACATAGTCATATAACTAGCTACTGGTATGCTTCAGACTCCATTTGAAGGGGCTGGCCTGGACCTAACCAGCTTTAAACAGTCTTTCAGTTGGGTATGTCAGTAAACAGCCATTCCCCTTTCAACTTCCCTAAAGTTCAGAAGCTCATTGTGAGTGCCAACTTATCCAGATGGCAGACTGGCCTTTACAACAAGCAGGGCCTTCTCAGTTGTTGCCCAGAAAGATGGAATTGTCTTCTCGTGGGCTCTTCATCTAGCACCTCCTTTACAGGCATTCTGTAATCAGGTACAAACTTTCTTTTTTCTATCAAACTTTGGAACCTACTCCATGTATTTTGGGTCATCTATTTGTGCTCATTGTTTTCTTTGACTATTCTTATTGATGTCAGTTTGTATCCATTTTAAGTGTTAGCTGAATGTTTGTTGCTTAGTTTTATGTTGTTATGAATATGTACTGCTCCCATGCCCAGTAACTGGCAAGAGCTAGGAGAGGACTTATGGTGGAGGGTGATGGGCATCGCCTGGCATGATGGCCCAGTAACTGGCAAGAGCTAGGAGAGGAGGGGGGACTTATGGTGGAGGGTGATGGGCATCACCTGGCATGATAAGGCCACTTCTAGCGTGACACAGAAGTTACATCATTGTGCACTTTTTTTAAAAATCAGAAAAACAATATATAAAGTGGATAAATAAAGACATTTGTAAAAGCTTAGTTTTATAAAGGGTTCAATTACAGACAGTGTAAAGTCCTATTCATGCTTTGCTAGCATTCTTCATTTACATTCTTCATTTACATATTTTGGGATATATACTATTTTTTTTCTACTATGTAGTTAGCATCCAAGCTGCAAGGATTGCAACTAGACCAGCACAACCTGCTGTCAGTCCCATGGAGAAGCTCTTTCAAACTAACAAGGCATAAGGCCAGCCCCACCCACTCATCACCTGGAGCCACACTTTGAGCTTCTGACTAGGAAGTATAACACTGGTGGTGTTTCACTCAGATGATCATTCCAGGAATGGAATCCATGGAAACCTCTCTCCCTTCACATACACGAAACAGAGGACAGGCATTTGTCATGTGAATGACCATTCTGGCCAATGCAGGTTTTATATCTGCCTTACAAAGCAGCAGAAGAAATAAGCCACTTTGCTCCTATTATGCAGAAATGCCCTGAGAGTCCTTCTGTATTGGTTTATGGGAGCCATCTGGTGGATAGCAACTTGCTTTGCACTCACCTGAAAGTCCTCCAACATCCATCTTTTTCAAGTTCTTTGCTTCCAAGATACAGACAGTGAGCTTCCCAGCAGTGGGCACATATCGTAGTGAGATACAGATGTCTCCCAATTTCTCAGGCTGATGAGGAAAATGGAAATTAAAATTAAACCAGGAAGTATGCTTGCAAATATTCTTGAATAAGTTGAGTGGTACATCTGATACAACACACACACACAAAAGGAGAGCTCCTGTGGTGAATACTCATTACGTCCCTTTTCTATGTCTGCTATGTATCATGAATCAAAGGTTGATGTGTCAGTCTTGTTCCTCCCCATTCCCTTGATTGCCCAATCCCTGCTGCATCCTCCTCCGGCTGGGAGACAACTGGAATGGATGTCACATAATCCTCCCATCTCAAGCACCCAAGCTGTGGGAAGTGTCACCTCTAAGCCAGAAGAGGGGGCGGAATGATCAGGCAGATGACCAAGCAGGAAATCGGCATGAGTCACGTATCAGCATTCAGTTGGTTGTTATGCTAAAGAGAGACATTCACACGGACAGAGCTTGTTCCCTCTAAGCTGTGAAGTATTGTGAGCAAAAATTCCACTTTGCGAGCTACTGGCATTAAAAGTTGTGAGCGGGCGATGTGGCTACTGCATAAATCAGTTTAATCTGGAGCCCTCCTTCCTGAGCTGAGAGAAAAACGTGTGAGCCAGAAGCTAAGAAACTGTGAGCTAGCTCACACTAACTCATCTTAGAGGGAACATTGCTACAGGGTGTTCATAACATAGGGAGCTCTTTTGTGTATATATTGGAGATGTCTCCAGTCTAAGGGAGGAGAGGGAATAAGCTGCTCAATAAACCAGGGAAGTAAAACAATAACCCAAGTCCTGGAACTAGACAGCAAGGAAGACCAGGGTAGTAATGCAGAGGAAGGCAATCGCAAACTACCTCGCTGACCCTCCTAACTGATGTTATTGCGACTAAGAAACAAACCTTGATTGACTACAGATTCAACGGGCAAGTTGCCCTAGCTCAAATGGTTTCAACATCCAGTTGTGAGAGCACTAAAGAGAGGAACCCATGAGGGACCCAAATGGGCCGTGGGTGATACATGTTCATCAATCCCTTCAGAAATTGCTAAGAGAGATGATATGAGAATACAGTGTGACCCTCGATAAGAGTGGAAGGCAGATATGGCTGCCGAATGAACCTTTATGGGAGGACTCAGCTAGCCTCTGAAATTTTAAGGTGAAAAGATACTGCAGAATTATGGATATTGGGCACAATATGAGAGAGTGACCTTCCAAATGGGCCCATGCTTCAAAGTGTTTCCATTTGCTCTCATAAGACTATCTTATAGAAACTTTATGGGAATTAAGCAGAAACTCTTGAATATGCAAGGGAAGAGTCAATTGCTCGTCAGTCTCCATGCCATGAGGCAGAGGTGAGGGTGTTGTGGTGAAGTAACTGCCCAATCTTCTGCTGATTGGGAGATTCTGAGTGGTGTACACAGACTTCTTTGAATTTTCTGAGGAGAGGGGCAAACCACACCTGTTGAGGCCAGAAGGGCACTACGAGAATGGCCTTTGAGTTGTCCTCTAGCAGCTTTGCCACCACCCTCGTCAAGAGAGTGAAGGGGGGAAAGGCACCCTTCCAGAAAAACTGGAAGGCATCCCCTATGGACAGTAGGTCACTGCTGGCCAGGGAGCAGAAACACTGGATCTTGGTATTGTAATGAGTGGCAAAGAGATCCAATGTAGGATAATCACAAAGGATGAAAATGGGCTGAATGTATTATTCTGTGAATGCCCAATTGTGATGGGATGTATGAACCCTGAGAATGTTCTTCTGCAATATAGATGGCCCGGAGATGGACGCTGTGATTCAGGGCCCAACGTCACATCTCCAAAGTTTCTGCATTGAGTGGTCTGGAGCTAGTGCCTCCCTGCCTGTTCACATAGAATATGGCAGAACATTGTCCATTTGAAAGAGAACCAACTTCCTTTAGACAATATCTGAAAATGAGTTAAGAGTATATCTTATGGCCATCAGTTCAATAACAGTTAGGTGCCACTTTCTCTCCTGGGAAAGTCACATCCCTTGCACATGAAGGTCCACACAATGGCCACCCACCCACCCATGCAAAGATGTATCAGTGGTTATGACCACCACATGCTGATAACAGTAAAGGGGAAACCTGAAAACAGGCTCTCATCCCATGGCCACCAGGATAGTGCTTTAACAAAACATCTGGGTATAGAAAACAGGTGGTGGGGGGAGTGCACTTCTGGTTTAAACCTAGAAACAAACCAGAGCTGTAATGGCCGCATAAATAACCTGGCCATGGGTAGGACAGCAGAAGATGCTGCCATCAATCCTAGTAACTTCTGAAACACTAGTGCGCTTTGGAATCAGCAACGTGATAGACAACCGATCAAAGTCTTTATCACCACACCCCTGTCAGCTGGAAGGTAACCCTTAGCAGATAAGGAGTCTTGGGGATGCTCTAATGAACTGGATGCTTTGGGAAGGCTCCAATTTAGTCTTCTTCCAGTTTACAGTGACGCCTAGATTGTGACATGTTCTGACAGCGAGGGCTATGTTGTCTGTTAACAATTCCTTCAGATCAGCTACAAACAGCCAGTTGTCCAAGCAGGAAAAAACGGTACATCACTGTAGGTGAAGGAGAGCCACAGCAGGAGCCATGCACTTGGTAAATACATGGTGGGCAATTGCCAGACCAATGGGTGACACTCAACAGTGGTAAATCTTTCTCCTGTACTTGAAACGGAGATACTTCCTATACTCCTCATGGATCGCAACATGAAAGTCTTGGAGATCGATAACTGCAAACCAAACATTATATTTTAATAAACTTTGTCAGCCAGAGAAATTTATTCAACCTTTGAAGATCTGGAATCAGACAGGAACCAACAGAACCCAGGTGATATGTCAGGTTCTGCAACCTCCCGGATCACCTCAAGAGCCATTTTGGTGTAGTAGTTAGGAGTGCAGAGAACCGGGTTTGATTCCCCACTCCTCCACATGCAGCTGCTGGGTGACCTTGGGCAAACCACAGTGCTCTCAAAGCTGTTCTCTCAAGAGCAGCTCTCTCTCAGGCCCACCTACCTCACAGGGTGTCTATTGTGGGTAGAGGAAGAAAAGGTGATTGTAAGCCACTCAGAGGATGGTGGAAGACAGGAGGGCCTGGCGTGATCTTGTCCATGGGGTCGCAAAGAGTTGGACTCGACTGTGCGACTGAACAACAAAGCCACTCTGAGATTCCAAGTGATGAACTGAGACTCTAACTCCAGCAGCCGGTTATCTACTGCCTCTGAAAACATCTGAACTGGTGGTAACGAAACAAACTCTAACCTATAGCCCTGTGCTATAATTGATAAAACCCGTTTGTCATCTGTAATACAGCTCCAGAAAGACAAAAAGGGGCACAGCTTATCCCTGAAGGTTGGATTAGAGTCATAGAACTGTTCTAGTCAGAAGGTCAGTTTGGGCAGGTGACCCCGAGAGTCCCTGGAAGAGGAGAGTTGCCGTCCTTTTTTCTGCTTCGGCCCATTCCTCCTTCTAGCCGAAGACTGAAAGGAAGCTGTTGACCTCTGATGTGCATCCAGATGTGCTATAAGGACACTGGTCCTTGTGAAGTGGGTACCAAGACCTAGCTGTAGATGGGCACTGCCTTCAGTAAGGGGGAGCTGAGTGTGTGACACCCAAGGATCTTGCTGTCTTGATGGCTTTTCTTTATCTCTGCCAGTGTGTCATCTGTACTTTCTGAAAACAGGGTTGTACCCTCAAAAGGTAAGTCGTCTATCTTAATTCTGGTTTCTACAGGGAACACAGTGGAACGCAGCCACACATGTCATCTGAGCACTATGGTTCTGATTGCTGAGTCAGCTGAATGTCGAGCAGCACTGATCTGTTGTTTAGACAACCTCACAGCCTCAGCTTGAAGGACCCTGGCCAAATCTTTCTCAGGTAAGAGTTTTATTTATTTATTTAACCTTTGATTTGATATACCGCCCTAACCCCCGTAGGGGTCTCTGGGTGGTTTACATGGGGGAAGTGCTAATCACATTTATACCCTAACTTAGGCCACATTGTTCTTGGGGGTGGGACTGCCTACCGGCACCCAGGTGGAGGCTGATGTTCCTTCGGTCCGGCTTGGCTCCATTCCCGGCAGTCTTGCTAGCTGGAAGTTTCTTCTGGCGCTCAGGTGGTCTGGTACAAGGTCAACATCCTCCTCCGGCCAGCTGCGTCCCTCAGGCTCCGCCGCGCTCGTGGATGACGTCACCGCGTGCCTCCGCCTCCACTAGACGACAGCCGCCTGCTGTTCCTGCCGCTGGCCACCAGGGATTGCTCCTCCGGTCCCGCTGCTGCTGCTTGCTGCCGCTGCGCTGCCACGCCGCCACGCCACGCCGGTACTCCGCTGCAGCCGATGTCCTGCCACCGCCATTGCCATTGCCGCTGCCGTCCTCCACACACCTCATCAGAGGAGGGTGCCCCCCACCCTTCTAAGGGTAGGTACCCATTTATCTACTCGCATTATAGTTACTTCTACTTTCGAACTGCTGGGTGGGCGGGAGCTAGGACAAGGGTCGAGAGCTCACCCCGACCGCGGTGGGTCTTGAACAGCCATAGTGGCTGCTCAAGTGTTGTTAAAGCAGGCGTTTTGCCGCCTGCGCCAAGGAGACATCATTTGCCACAGAAAAAGTTGGTATGTTCCCATAATAGCTTGGGGTGTGTGTGAAAAGGTGACCTTGACTTATTCTGAAGCTCCTTGACTGAAGCTCCTTGACTTATTCCGAAGCTCCTCAGTTATCAAGGATGATGGCGATGGATGGGTAGACAAAAGCACAGCATCCTCCTGTTTAACCTTGTATAAGTTCTCTATGGGCCTCGAGGTGGCAGGGGCCAAGGCAGTCTTTTCCAGAAACCCTCCAGTACTAGGAAAGCTACAGTGCTTGAGGTATCAGAATACAATTGGCCAGGAATCTTGTCCTTGGGCTTTTGTTCCCTGGTTGCAATGTCGATCTCCAAAGCCTGAGCCATTCTGGTCATTTGCTCCGCATATAGGCATAAGTCCTCATTAGATGAGATCAGTGCAGAATCCCCAACCTGTTTGTTGGGTGACTGGTCCAAAGGTAGCTCAGAACTATGTTCAGATTCCTGTCTCAGCTCCCTCACTGGAGTCTAAAGGAGGGGCAGTGAGTCATGGTCTTGGTGGAACAGACAAACAGACAGAGGGGTGACTTCTATGTTGAGATGTGATGTGGGGGTGGAGAGCATTCAGATCAGTCCCGGAGATAAGCTGGGGATATGCAGTATGGATATGGTTGCCAGGGAAAAGGAGGGTATGCCAAACCATAGATCCATCTGAATTGGCCTTGGATCTGAAGCTGTCACAGTATCCAATGGAAGATCCACCTCTGACATGGAAAGGACAGGTGAAGCTGAATGTATTGAAGAGGTCCTCGGTGGAGCAAAGGGGGGAGCCTCAGATTCAGGCATTGGATCCCTAGGAGCTGACTTGGGGGACCGATGGGGGCGAGTCACAGATTTGGTCTTCTCTCTGTTTTTGGATTTAAAATGACTTGTCTCTCCCAGTGGTTCCGATGTACTCCATGGAACTGATGAGACCAGGGATGAAGACTGGTGCCGAGTTAGTTCAGAACAGGTGACTGATGGAACTGAGGAACTCAAAGATACCGGAGAAGATCTCTGAGATTTTGAGGTAGACAGCTGGGCACGTCTGCGAGGCTTGTTAGATGAGGACAATGCCTTTTCCCACAGGGCAGCCTTTAAACGGAAAGCCCTATCACTTCACGCTTTAGGGGTGAACTGTTGACACACCCGGCAGTTTCCCCCATTATTCTCTTCACTGAGACACAAAAGGCACAGACTATATTCATCGGAATGAGGCATTTTAGTACCACATCCAATACATTTTTTAAAATCAGGCTTTCTGAGCCATTCTGTCCGGGGGGGGGGGGAATCTTTGGAGAAAGCAAGGTAGGGTGTTGATGCAGCCCTTTGACCTGGAACAATCAGCGTGAGACAAAGGAGCACACAGCTTCCCCTTAGCTTGGTTCAGCTGTTATTTCCTTCTCACCCAAAACTCCAGTAAACTAACACCCTTCTTCTGTGGGGAATCAACACCAGAACAAAATAAAGGTTCTTTTAAACCTGGAGAGCTGAAAAGAAGAAACTTCTCCAATGACAGCAAAAAAGGAACTAAGGGGAGGAGGCGCCCCCTTCCCATTGACCATGTGACCATTGCAGCAGGAAGGACGGTTCACAATGGCTCCAAGGGGGGGTCCCTCTAGGTGACTTTTTTTTTTAGCTTTGAAATGATCTGCGGCAGACCTGAAGATGAACATGCTATTTCTCCACTTGTCTCTCCTGCCTTACCTCCTCTTTTTCTGCACTCTCTAGATCTCTCCACTCTTCAATGGGCTGTCCCAAGTCCACGGTGTTCATGGGCACCTTGACTTCCCCAATGATGTCATGCTTGGAGAACCGGTCAAAGTCATAGATGGCACACACCAAGGTCTTCCCACCCAGTTCCTGATATGGAACCTGTTTCACAAAGAAGAATTGTTCAACAGTCACTGGCCATGCCTGATGGAAGGGTTTAGTGAAATTTTGCTAAAATTGCATAGGGTACAAAAACATGCTTACTTAGAACAATAGTGCAAAGAAACTAGGCTTCAAACAGCTACACTATATTAAAAATGTAATTGTTCATACACAATGTATGAGTACTTTAGCAACTGGCTTTGTGAAACTATATCAAGGTCAACAGAGTAGGAGATGTCACCATGCAGGAAAACTCACTAAACTGAGGGCTAGTCTCACCGTATCCTGAAGTGGAGCAGCTGTCGGGTCCCAGGGCTCCTGGTAGAGCCCAGTGCTGTCGATCCCTCGTGTGCCTCCCTCACCTGCGCACCCTTCTGCGTACCCAACTACGCTACCTATTGCATGTGTTGCACATTCTCCCCAACACTAGGGAACCATGTCCAGAAGATGTAAGGCAGCAGCAGTGCTCCTGACAACCGTGACAATGGCACTCCCAGCTGCACACACCACCCAATGCCATCAGGGAAAGGGCTTGCAGGCGGTGCAGTTGGCTAAGAACATGGGCAGGGGAAAGCTGCAGAGGGTAACATATGAGTGGGCAGTAAAGGAACTTCAAGCTAGGGGCCTGGTGCCCTGACCTGGATAGCCCAGGCAAGCTTGGTCTCATCAGATCTTGGAAGCTAAATAGGGCCGACCCTAGCAACTATTTGGATGGGAGACCTCCAGAGAATACCAGGGTCGGGAGGCAGAGGCAAGCTATCAAGCCACTTCTCTGAATGTCCTCCACGTCTCAGTAGGAATTGCCAGAGGTCACCATGATTTCCAGGCACAGGGGTGCACACATACGCACACGGAGAGATGCAAAGATACAAAAAAAAAAAAAGCTGGGGGCCTGGTGGTGTGCGGAGGAGAGATGGGACCCCTGGGCACTCTCTGCCTGGGACCAAGACATCTGGATTTTCACAACCCCCTTCCCCAACTTTCTCACTCCACTGGCAACAAGACAGTAGCTAGTGATCATTCAAGAGAATGGAGTAAATGTGCACACTAAAATGCAATTGTCCAGTAACTGGATAGGTCACCACCTGGGAGCCAAATGAAAGCTACTCAGAGCTTCCTGGAGAAAGAACAGGGTAGAAATATCACAAGTAAATAATAAAGTAATATTTCTTGATAGAAGGGCTCAGAAATAAAATATATTCCAGTTTCCCTTACAACGTCCATCTGATTTCCTTCTTCAAATTAATTATTTAGAGCCAAAGCCACAAATCAGTAATTTACTCATGAATTCTCGTCATCTGTTATTGACATTTCCTGTAAGAATTAGGTATGGTGACTGCATGTGTTGGCAGGACACTTTTGGTAAACTTGCCACAAAGATTCTAACACTGCAAACATATGCACACTTACTTGAAAGAAAGTCCAACTGAATAAAATGGGAATTATTTCCAAGCAAGCATGTATAGAATTGGGCTGCTTGATATATTTTCCAAGAAGTAACCTGTTAATTTAGAATTAAGTACTTTTTGTAATTAGGCATCTCCCATACAGGATTTATTTATCAGTGTTAAACATGTAGCAGTGTTAAGCCTCGGCCCTTTTGATAGTGTCCTTAGAACTGCATGAGTTCCAATTCTTACTCCTATGTGGTAGGTTTACATTAATTCTTAAGGGCTTTGGTTACTTTTGCTGAAATTCTTTCTGCCTTGACTTTTTCCTGCCAGGAATTACAGTCTCCAGTTTTCCTACTTCGCCCTAGAAATATTTTAAGGCACACAAATATTTTCTAGGCAATCTGAACCATTTCAGGTCTCTAATCATTCTATTTGGAACATACTAGCTGCAAAGGATGCCTAGACCAGAAGTCTCACCTTGAAGACGAAGGTCTCATTGTAGGTTGGATTGAGGGTCTTCTTTTGCACTTTGGTCTCGTACTTCTTCTTCTTGTCAGGAAGGAGGAAGACTTTGACATAAGGGTCTGATGTGCCACCTATATCCAGTGCTGGGAGCTCAGCTGCTTGGAGGATCCCTACTGTTAGCTGCAAGGGAAAGACAATTATCAGTAGTACGCAAAATGATTCTACAACATCACAAGTCAGTCAATACAACACATGGTGAAAAAAATCCGATCGGTTTTCATCATTCTTCCTCTGTTGTCACCAGATACTCTGTCCTTCCTTCTCTACCACTATGGCACCATGTGTGTTATACTCCTCACCTACCCTAGTCATCTCAAAATGGACAGTCCTTTCTGCACAGAGAATGGCTCAGTTAAGGCATCAAGTCAAATCATGGTTACTTCAAACTGTATAGGTTATTTTGTTCTCACAAGTGTTAAACAGAAGTTGTCAAAAGGAACTTGTGTGACAGGCCCAAGTTCACCCAGCAAGGTTCTATCACAGAGTGACAAAGCAGTGATAAATGAGATATGACTTTACAAGGGGATTAGACAAATGAATAAGAGGATGGAGCTACCAATGGTGGCACAATGGCTAAATAAAAACCACCATGCACAGTTTTGGGGCATCAGCAAGCAAAAAGGACGTTGCCTTCATGTCCTGCTTGTAAGCATCCTGGAAGCATCTGATTACCCACTGTGGGATACAAGATGCAGAGCCAGACGGATCCTTTGTTTAATACAGCAGGGATGTTCCTATGTTCTCAAGAACCAGCATTGCCTTAACTTGCTTTTCAGGGTTCACATGAGCTCTTGCAGTTTCCTCTCAAACACTGCTAGAGTCCCTGGACAGCAGCAAAGAGAGGAAAAGTCTTCCATAGCTTTCGAGAGGCCCAGACTATGAGGATATAGTTTTCTTGGTGGCCTTCTGTTTCACTTTACGAACAGCGGAAGTGAATCATTTTTCTCTCAGTTCTTCCCAGTGAGTGAACTCTGGAAGAGTTTTATCTGCTGCTGCTCAGAGTTTCTGGTAAAGTCCATCTTCATCATCTCCTCAAACAACCGGAAGATGCCTCCTTTCCAAAGTGTGACCTTAATCCCTCCTTAGCATAACTGTTCAGTCTCCCCGCTTCTGTATCTTTCCATAGCTCACCTTCCTTGCCTGCAGTACCTCTAGATACCTGGGAGGCAACAGTGGAGGTGGGTGGATGCCTCAGAAACATGGCAGACTTAAAAATCACTGCAGCAGGGATGACCATGCAAGGTTGCAGAAGCCAAGCTGACTGCTCAGCAGAGAATGGGACTTTTTGACATTCTGGAAAGGTATTTGACCCGTGAAAAACAAAGGAGGCTTCTTCTACACACTTCGCACACCTAACTGCAGACAGAGGCTGGGCTAGAACACTGAGAAAGGCTTAGGGAATGAGTCTGGAGGCTGGAACAGAAGACTAAACCCATTTGTCACTGAACTGTTGCCCCTGTTAACTTTGTTCACTGACACCTTGCTGATCTTCCACCGGGAAGTGCTTTGACAGCTGAGAATAACAGAGAATCACCAGACAGAAAAGGGCGGTGGGTGGGGAGAGCTGAGCTACAGGCCGACAAGAGCTGGGAACAGGTTGTGCTTAGGGAGCCATCAACAAGAACCCCTTGTGTGCTTGTGCCTTCCTTCTGTCAGGAGTCCTGCCTCTAAGCCACAGCAAGATCTGGAGGAAGAGAAATGGCCCAAACCAGCGTTTGCCAATGTGGACATCACACCGAGCCATGACCAAGCAGTGCAAACTGTGGTTTGGCATGATATCTTAACTGACAAGGATATTGTGGCTGGGTAGAAGACCTTAGCCATGACCTTCCACCCTCATTCCAAGAGGCTCCGTAAGATACTGCTTTGAAGGTCCATAGCCCTTCCTTTTATGACCTCTTTTCATCAGCTCCCATTCAAAAGCTGAGATCTGAGAACCTCCCCATGCAAGGTAAACATAGGCATGTTTACATGGGCACCTCCCACATGGCTGGTTTGGCACTGGAAGTGGATAAAATCGGTGACCTGTTGTGCGGCCACCTGCAAATCATTCCTCTGTAACGTCTATACCATTCGCTCTGATCTTGCAAACTGTTTGCTCCCTAGTCATGTGTCACTGTAGGAATTAGATGAACTGAGCCTCAACAGAATTCCTATGAAAAAAGCTTCTAGTGTTCTACACTGACAGCACACAAACACACTTTTTAAAAAGAAAAAAACATTTTCTGCAGGAGGGAATTTGGAGCAGAACGGCATCCCCACCACCACTGATTCTCTGCGCCACATCATACAGGCCCTGTAGAACTAGATTTTCCCCTTCACAGAATTCTAAGCCCACAGTTGCAAAGCTAGAGGCATATGTAGGGGGCAGGGCTGCCATCAGGCCTGGTGGAAAATATCCTGTCCCTTTAATAGAACTTTATGTGTGGGAATAGGCAGATGACTCTTTTTATGGCATGAAGATAAATAACATCCCATTAGACCTCTATCAGAAGAACAGGACTTTTTTTCCTCCCGGCAGTTGGCAATCTTAGCACGGGGGAGGGCACTAATCCATGCTACAGTCACCTCCAGGCTAGACTACTGTAACTCACTCTCTGCAGGGCTACCCTTGAGACTGATCTGGAAATTACAACTGGACCAGAATGCAACGGCATGGGTTCTTCCCAGAATCCCATGGACAGCACACGTTCAACCAGTGCTTCGCCAGCTGCACTGGCTCCAGGCTGAAAACTGGATCAGGTTCAAGGTTTTGGTATTAACCTTCAAAGCCCTAAACGGTCTGGGACCAAAGTAACTACGGGGCCATCTCTCCTGGTATACCCCCTGAAGAGCACTGCGCACTGGTGAGAAGAACCTACTGGTGCTTCCTGGCCTGAAAAATATCCAGCTGTCCTCAACCAGAGCCAGGGTCTTTTCATCCCTGGCCCCGACCTGGTGGAACTCTCTGCTGAATTACATCCATGTCCTGTGGAACCTAATGCAGTTCCACAGGGCCTGCCCGTAACACACAGATGTTCTGCCAGGCCTACGGTTGAGGACAGCAATGGTTTCCATCTAGCCTGGCCCCCTCCTTTCTCTCCTCCTTCCCCACAGTCTAAGGACACAAACTGGCCTATTTAAGCATCATCTGAAATAGCTTTGTATTGTTTCGTGTTTTAACTGCTTTTAACTTGATTGTCAATGTATCTGTTGGAATTGTTGTTCACCACCTTGAGCCCTGTGCAAGTAGAATTTATAAATAAATAAATAAATTCACAGCTGAAAAATCACAGGTGAGGAAAGAATTAAGCACTCCCTATTGCTTCTCTATCCCCGCCACCCCCCGCCCCCTCCCAATGCTGCTTTTTTAAAAAAAGAAAGATTGGGCTCTCCAAGGTATTTTTTAGCTCCTGAGTAACTCCAGACCTCTTTATTTGAAGGCCTCAGCAGTTTCTGCCTGAACAAGCCCAAACTAGATGCCCAGAACTGGCAGACGTGAGTTTACATCTACAGTGTAAACAGCTACTTGAGGAGGCAAGGCTTGGTCTTTTCCCACCTCTCTTGTCCCGTCTCCTCATGCAGACATCTTACCTGGTTACCCTGAAAATCATAGTCTAGGGAGAACTGCAGCTTGCCCAGGTTTTCTGGTTCCTTCTCCTTCTCCTCTTCTTCCTCCTCTTCTTCTCCATCTCCATCATCATCATCCTGTTTATTCTGAAAGGGAAACAGGACCACAATGTTCTGCAAAGTGGGCGTCACAAACTGGGCAGCCTAGTTCCCTTTTAACTCACAAACATGTGTGTCACGCACATACACACACACACATACCTCATAGCCTTACCTTAGCTTGGAAATGCATGTACACCTTTTAAAAAGTGGAAGCTTTACTTCAGGGGGAAGGAAAATAGGTCGCCAGGGCTCAGCTGGGGGGTGGGGGCTGAGCTTCTTCGCCTATCTTATGATTTTGGCTCTCCACAGCCTCTCTGATGAGAAAACTTCAGATATATTTTGTTCCTCCCCATATATATGGCATTAGTGCAGATAACTCTCTCATGGATCACTGCCTTGATGTGGCGAGGGGGCCAGGACAGACAGGCCACAGCAGAGAACTCAGACAAAACATGATTCACTGGAGAAGGAAATGGCAACCCACTCCAGTATCTTTGCCAAGAAAACCCCATGGGTAGTAACAAAAGGCTAAAAGATATGACACCAGAAGATGAGCCCCTCAGGTCAGAAGGTGCCCAATATGCTACAGGAGAAGAGATGAGGGCAAGTACCCCAGAAAGAGTGAAGCGGATGGGCTAAAGCTGAAAGGACGCTAAGCTGTGGATGTGTCTGATGGTGAAAGGAAAGTCCGATGCTGCAAAGAACAATACTGCATAGGAACCTGGAATGTAAGATCTATGAATCAAGGTAAGCTTGACATGGTCAAAAATGAGATGGCAAGACTGAACATCGACATCTTGGGAATCAGTGAACCAAAGTGGATGGGAATGGGCAAATTTAACTCAGAAGACCATTATATCTACTTCTGTGGCCAAGAATCCCATAGAAAAAATGGTGTGGTCTTTATAGTCAACCAGAGAGTGAAAAGGGCAGTAATGGGATACAATGTCAAAAATGACAGAATGATCTCAATCTGAATCCAAGGCAAACCATTCAACATCACAGTAATCCAAGTCTATGCCCCAACCACTGACGAGGCTGAAGTGGACTAGTTCTATCAAGACCTATAACACCTCCTAGAACTAACACCAAAAAACATGTCCTTACCATCATAGGGGACTGGAATGCTAAAGTAGGACGTCAAAAGGTAACTGGAATAACGGGCAAGTTTGGCCTTGGAGATCAAAATGAAGCCGGGCAAAGGCTAACAGAGTTTTGTCAAGAGAACACGCTTGTCATAGCGAACACCCTCTTCCAACAACCTAAGAGGCTACTCTACACATGGACATCACCAAATAGGCAACATCGAAATCAGATTGATTATATAATTTGCAGTCAAAGATGGAGAAGCTCCATACAGTCAGTAAAAACAAGACCTGGAGCTGACTGTGGCTCAGATCATGAGCTACTCATTGCAAAATTCAGGCTTAAACCGAAGAAAGTTGGGGAAACCACTAGGCCATTCAGGTTTGACCTAGATCACATCCCTTATGAATATACAGTGGAGGTGAAGAATAGGTTAAAGGGACTAGATTTGATAGACAGACTGCCTGAAGAACTATGGATGGAGGTTCGTGACATTGTACAAGAGGCAGCAATCAGCACCATCCCAAAGAAAAAGAAATGCAAGAAAGCAAAGTGGCTGTCTGATGAGGCTTTACAAATAGTAGAGGAAAGAAGGAAAGTGAAAGGCAAAGGTGAGAAGGAAAGATTGACCCAACTGAATGCAGATTTCCAGAGAACAGCAAGGAGAGATAAGGAGGCCTTCCTGAATGAACAATGCAAAGTAATAGAGGAAAACAATAGAATGGGAAGGACTAGAGAGCTCTTCAAGAAAATTAGATCAATCAAGGGAACATTTCGTGCAAAGCTGGCCATGATAAAGGACAAAAACAGTAGGGACCTAACAGAAGCAGAAGAGATTAGGAAAAGATGGTAAGAATACACAGAAGAACTATACAAGAAAGACCTCGATGTCGTTGACAACCATGACGGTATAATCACTGACCTCGAACCAGACATCCTGGAGTGTGAAGTCAAATGGGCCTTAGAAAGCATTACTAACAACAAAGCTAGTGGAGGTGATGGTATCCCAGCTGAGCTATTCAAAGTCTTAAATGATGCTGCTGTTAAAGTGCTGCACTCAATATGCCAGCAAATTTGGAAAACGCAACAGTGGCCACAGGATTGGAAAAGGTCAATTTACATTCCAATCCCAAACCAGGGCAATGCCAAGGAATGTTCAAACTATTGCACAATTGTACTCATTTCACATGCTAGCAAGGTAATGCTCAAGATCCTACAAGCTAGGCGTCAGCAGTATGTGGATAGAGAACTGCCAGAAGTACAAGCTGGGTTTTGAAGAGGTAGAAGAACAGGAGATCAAATTGCCAATATTCGCTGGATTATAGAGAAAGCAAGAGAGTACCAGAAAAACATCTACTTCTGTTTCATTGACTACGTTAAAGCCTTTAATTGTGTGGATCACAACAAACTGTAGCAAGTCTTTAAAATGATGGGAGTATCAGACCACCTCACATGTCTCCTGAGAAACCTGTATAAGGGTCAAGAAGCGACAGTTAGAACAGGATATGGAACAACTGATTGGTTTAGCATAGGAAAAGGAGTACAACAAGGATGTATATTGTCACCCTGCTTATTTAATTCATATGCAGAGTACATCATGAGAAAAGCCGGCCTGGATGAACCACAAGCTGGAATTAAGATTGCTGGGAAAAACATCAACAACCTCAGATATGCAGACGATACCACTCTAATGGCGGAAAGTGAAGAGGACCTCAAGAGCCTCTTGCTGAAAGTAAAAGAGGAGAGCACAAAAGTTGGCTTGAAACTCAACATTAAAAAACCTAAGATCATGGCATCCGGCCCCATCACTCCTTGGCAATGAGAAGGGGAAGTCATGGAAGCAGTGACAGAATTCACGTTCCTGGGATCCAAGATCACTGCAGATGGTGATTGCAGCCATGAAATTAAAAGATGCCTGCTCTAGGCGGGTGTGCTCCATCACAGCTCTGATGTGAGCGCCCCGCAAACATGCCGATGGGGGGGGGGTCCGAGTTGATCTTGAACCTCCCAGGCCCCTTGTAGGGGGGTCGCAGCCTGGGGTGCAATAGGTGCCTCTCCCAAGGTGGAAGCCAAGGGATTGAGGCTCCTTTTTGCCCCAATAGGCCCCCGTGGCACGGAGCCAACACAGCACTAAGAGGCGCATACTGGACAGAGCGCACAAGGATCCCGAGAAACGATCCTCTCTACATGCCAAGCGAACGCACGTACAAATGTGAGTGAAGCCATGATCCAGCAAACAATCAATAAATTGCTACAAGTAAAGCTGCCCCAAAGCCCCAAACAAGTGGAAGGGGGAGGGGAATGCCCGATCCTGAAACAACTGAGTTTAAAGTGGGAGGCTGAAAGGGCAGGTTGAAGGAAGCAGATTATGATGAAGTGTGCAGCGGACCAGCAAGAAAGCGATAAATTCTAGACTTACGGAGAACTTTTAAACTTTTCTCTTGTGTAAACAATGACTCAGTGAGCAGAAAAAATGGCGTCGAAAGCGAAACTTATAATACAAACTGCTAGCACAGCATCGCCGGCTACCAGGCCAGAAGTAACCACAGACTTTCCCAAACTGACTGCTGTAGCTTTGTGCCCTCTACTGGATCAGATGACCAACCTTAACGTCAAGCTGGATATTAGCAAAAGGAACTCAAAAAAATTTCAGCGAGAAAGAAACAAAATGGATGTTCCTGAAGCAACAACAGAAAGCAGAAGATGGACCTGAGAAAGTGGAGGAGAACAAAGACGCAGCAGCAGCAGCAGCAGCAGCAGCAGCAGCAGCAGCAGCAGCAGCAGCAGCAGCAGCAGCAGCAGCAGCAGCAGCAGCAGCAGCAGCAGCAGCAGCAGCAGCAGCAGCAGCAGCAGCAGCAGCAGCAGCAGCAGCAGCAGCAGCAGCAGCAGCAGCAGCAGCAGCAGCAGCATGCAGATGAGGAGTATGGGGAAGGCATAGATACCATCCTGAAGAGTCTGGCAAAACTCTTTGATCCTGAAGCAGAACTAGGGGCTGTTGCCCCTAAACCAGCTAAAAATTAATTTGGACTTTGATAAGAGGAAAGGAATTTGCAAAATAGATTAACTTTGATAGCCTGTTTACTTTTATCGCATAACTTTAATTCTATGATATTTACATCTTAGTTAAAGAGATTGTGATTGCTTGCTTGACACTTTTGCAACAGTAATTTTCATATTTTACTACTAAGATAACAGAGATGTATCAACAAACTTATACTTCTGTATTATGGATCCTTGATACTCTTTATTTTAGGTTATTCCACTACCCTGACCCTGTAGTTTTGTAGATTAGAAAAAATAAAAATAAATAAAAGACAAAAACAAAAAGGTGCCTGCTCTTTGGGAGGAAAGCAATGGCAAACTTAGACAGCATAATAAAACATAGAGACATTCCCCTGCCAACAAAAGTCCGTATGGTCAAAGAAATGGTATTCACAGTAGAGTTGGACCATAAGGAAGGCTGAGCACCGAAGAATAGATGCTTTTGAATTATGGTGCTGGAGAAGACTCTTGAGAATCCCTTGGACTGCAAGAAGATCAAATCAGTCAATCCTTTTTTCTTTATAAACAATTTTTTATAAATCAGTCGATCCTAAAGGAAATCAACCCTGACTGTTCCCTGGAAGGCCAGATGCTGAAGTTGAAGCTCAAATACTTTGGCCACTAATTGAGAAGACCCTGATGCTGGGAAAGATTGAAGGCCAAAGAAGAAGGGGACAGCAAAGGATTAGATTGTCAGACAGTGTTATCAATGCAACAAACATGAAATTAAGCAAACTCTGGAGGATGGCAGAAGACAGGAGGGCCTGGCATGATGTGGTCCATGGGGTCATGAAGAGTCAGACTCGACTGTGCAACTGAACAACAATGACAAAAGTGCAGATAAATAATGACCCCCTCTATAGGATGGCAGAGCTGGGTTAAAATAGATATAGCCTTGATACACTGCTACAATGCCT